TTGAAATAGCCACTGTGTTCGTATCCCTGACGCCAAGTCAGCTCACTTACATAATCTTCTTTGTTGAGATGTGTTAGTGCCGCGTATAATTCTAAAGAATGATTAAAAGGTTTGTTCTGACATTGTCATGGAACTCTTGTCGTTTCAGATTGAAATGTAAAATAATGAAATCGTAACTTTTGGTTATCGTGATAACCTACACTTCCCCATCAAAAGTAAAACAGACGTTTCCATGAACAGAACCGTTGTAAATACTGCATATATACTTTGTCAGCAGTGTATAAAGAAAGTGTTTGCTCTGTCAATGATCAGGTACCACAGTTCTCTTTGTGGTGAGAGTGCTTCTTAGATGTCAGGTGATCCGCTGGCCATGTTTTCTCCACCACGCCACTTATAAACAATGCAAGGATGTACCTTAGATATTCAGCAAATATTTGCTCACTAAAGTACCCACTGTCCAGATAAAAATAATTAAAAATTCCCTTGAACTATTAAAGAGAATTATCACCATGCTTTTCTGGGAAGAAGAGAGATAGCAAAGAAAGAATTTACAGAAAAAGTTAAGTTTAATTCTTGTACCTAGCCTGAAAGTTTATAGCTTAAAATAGGGATACATATTTAGAGACAAAGACAACTGGTAGTGTTTCTAGGAGAATGCTAACAATGTTGAGTTAACATAATACATTTCATGACCTAGTTTTATTTGAGCATGAGCCTTTGAAGAGGTGTGTTTCTTAAATAATCAGTACCTGTTTGCATTGATTGGATGTCTAATTAAATGTCCCAATCATAACTGTGATTTTCATTTGAGTGCTGCCTCATTTTTAAACTCTTAGAAAATAACGTGAAAGCTTTTAATTTATTTGTATGAAGGAATCTTTTTAAAATCACATAAATCCTCGGAAGAATTATCTCCAATCTGATATCAAATGTAAATTAAACACCAGAAGTGGCATCTTTTGAAGATCTTTGCTCTAGACAAGCACTGGGTGTAGGAAAGATCCAATTCGGACCCCAGTGCAGCCTGCTCTGTGTAGTAATGGTAGTATCAGGGGAGTAGCGAGGCCTTAAGGTTTGGAAGCTGGGACACTTAGGGAAAGTTGAGTGGCTTTATTTCAAAGTGACCACTCATCCCCGACCTAACATTGGTAACAATGGGCTTTCTTTGTAGAATTTGTGTTTTTTACTCAGATTTCCTAGTTGTGTACCAGTGTCAGGTGGGAACAGTACATCTCAGGGTATGCTCTTTATAATAATAATAAAGACAGGTATCAGAATCCCCTTGTCGAGCTTGCAAAGCTTCACACTAGAGAATCAGGATGTTTGTGAAGGGAATCTAAATCTGTACTCAAGCTCCTTTCAGTTTAAGAGTTAGTCACACAAAAGTGTAAGCATCAGTGCTTTGGTTTTTTTCTTGCCAGTGTGATAGTGGCTAGTGTTTTCTTTTAAGGCAGTTTCTCAGATGCTCAGTGTGTAAGCATTTCCCTGTGGAGCCAAACATGGTGTCAGCCCTCATTTGTTGTCTTTGCATGTCAACCAAGTCAAGGCATCTAAGAGTGTAACTAGAGTTCACAGATGCTTCCTTTCTGTCCTGCTTGTGGGAGTGACCTGGTGAACTTACCCTGTTAACTAAATTTTCGGCTTAAGGTTGAGAATGGACCCTGGGATGGCAGCCTGAGAGACTAGAATAAGAATACTCTCAAAGGAGAGCTGCCCATTTGTTATCCTTTAACACTCACATTTGAAGGTTTGGGTTAAACGCTAATATTTTGGCAGGCAAGTGTGTGGTATATCCATGTACCCTGCCCTTTATTGTTACAGATTTTTGTTGACAAATTTATGTAAGGGCTTCTGTAAGCTCTGTATTCAAATGTCCCCCAACTTGTAAAGATTTTTGTGTTCATTGAAAAAAAATAGAAATAATGTAAAAGAGAAGTTCAAAGACTACTGAGTAGTCTACCAGACCTGCTTCCAGTCCTAGCTGACATTACTGCCCAGGTGGCTTCAGATGAACCTGACCTTAGCTCCTTTACTACAAAGACAAGGATGATAGTGCCTGGCTCATAGGAGTTGTTTCGAAAATTATGCAAGATTATACATGAAAATACCATCTGCTAATAATGTACTGTATATACTCAGTAGATGTAATTTCTAATTGTAACTTTCAATTTTCCTTTTTAGCCCTGGAGAGTCACTGACGAAGGAAAAGAGGAAGCACACACTGGATGAGCTAAGTAATCTGAACACAGTGGGAGGTCACATTACTAAGCAGTAATTGTTGAGCAGAGGGGAAGAGGGTAGGAGCAAGATGTAGATGGTAGTGCCAGCTAAAACTTGGATTTCATGGTACGGCCTTCTGGCTCAGGTGCTTTCTTTACCCTCATCTCCTTTTGTACCATCTTATTTAGCCCTTAATTATATATTTCCTACACTCACTTTGAGAAGCACTGGTTATGGGGTTTGCCTCAAATTCTGAATCTTGGCTTTAGATTTTAGTATCACTGATTCTCAGCTTTTGGGTTTAAGGGTAGCAGCTGTTTTTCTTATGAGGAGGTGGATGGGGTCTGGCTCTTAGAATTATTGAAAGGAATATATTTCTACCCATGGTGCTTGGAATGGATCCAGAATTCAGCTTAAGAGTTTCTTTTTCATATAGGCATTTGCCACCAAAGAACAGGTTCTGGTCAAAGAGGCTCCTACCTGAGGACTTAACACTGCCTGTGCTTTGAGGTAATATTTAGATATGTCAGCGTACTTTCTTTAGTTTCAGTTCATTTGCTCATCATGGCAGCCCATTAGAATGCTGTCTTTATAAGTGGACAGATTCCAATCAATACCTCAAATCCTTTCTCCTCATCTCTCTTTATTGCTTATCAACAAAAGGAGTCCCATCCTGCTCTAAAAAACTATCTTTGTAGATTTAGGAACAACCAACCATTGTAGCTTAGCTCATTGGTGATGTCTTCTCTTGAACCACCCAGAATCTGTCCATTTTTTAGTTTCTATTCCTCCATAGTCTGTTCCCAGATTCCTGACCTCTTAAGAATCTTACACTCCTTGAATTCATATGGTAGCCACAACCATTTGGCCAGTTGTAATGTAGTTATAAAGTCAATGCAAAAAAGGATATATGGTATACTTGATAGGAGAAAGCACTGGACTGAGTGAGTTTTAAGACTTTTATCAGGGTTTGTGTGAGCCAGGTCAGGTTGCTCTGCTTCCCTGATCAGTGAGTGGAAAGCATCAGCCAGATTTCTTCTTCTGAGGTTCTAGCACATTTTGGCCTTGCATAGGTAGGATGGGATTGAGTGTTCCTGGTTACAAATGTTGTTATGAGAACTGAATGCCTCAGGACCAGTTCAATCACAGAGATTTATAAATATAAAGTTGTTGCCTTTAAATTCCATATGCCTTTTCTGGAAAGTCTTTTAAACAAAAGAACTCAAGAAGATTAGTTGGGGGGACAATTAAGTGCCTGTTGATAGATATTAGAGAAAAAAAAAAAGTCCACATCATCCTTGGGAATAATTTACTATGGTAAAATAGTAGACTGTCGGTCCTCACTATCGATTGGGGTTGGGAGGAATTGATGCTAGGATCTACCACTTTAGATACTAAAATCTGTGACTGTTTAAATCCATTGTGGAAAGTAATTGAGTATATGAACAAAGCCCCCACACATCCTGTATACTCTAAAGCACTTCTTGATGACTAGATCCAATGTAATGTGATGCCATGTCAGTAGTTGCTGTATTGTGTTGTTTGGGGAGCGGTGACAAGATTAAAAAGTCTATACATGTTTAACATAAATGAAATTGTTAGTTGTTTGATTTATTTATTGAGATAAGGTGTTGCTTTAGTCCAGGCTGGAGTGGAATTTACCATGTAGTCTATGCTGTCTTTGAATTTATAATTTTTGTAGCTTAGCTTCCCAAATGCTAGAATTCTGAGGCATGTGACATGAAGCTTAGCATACTTTTATACACACACACACACACACACACACACACACACACACTTACATACACACTTACTCTTGATTCACAGAAACTATAATGTCATGTAAAAACCAATGATATTTTACATTTCATTTTTATTGATGAATGCTGTGTAATACTGGCTATATGCATTCTTTTTTAAATCATTGCATGACTAAAAGTCATAGAAAGGAAGGAAATCTAGGCTAGAGTGAAAAATACTTGGTGAATTTCTACTGATCTGGCTGGTGAGTATTGTAGACTACATCTATATGAACATACATCACATGCACATTACACCTAAATTAAGGATACTCTGAAGTTACGAGATGCTATTATACATTGACCAGACTTTAGGGATATCTCTTTAAAGTGTGTTGACATTTCATTGACCTTTGAAGGTTCATTCTGTTAATCATACTCAAAGTGCTAAAGCTATGGTTGACTGCTCTGGAATTTTTACATCCAGTCGTGCTTAGCATATAAATTCTCTCTTTGGCATAATTGCTGCTTATTTCCTTTCTTCTCCCTGAAAATGTGAGTTGTGCTTATGTTTTATTTGTTTGTTAGTTGGTTTGTTTTTCTTAAACTTTGCTTCAGGCTAGGTAACATTAGAGGTTTGACTTTAAGGCTTTTCCTGTCAGTCATTGTATGGGATATTTTTCATACATAAGGAATGGAAATTGCTTGCCTAAATAAAGGGTACTGTTCTTTATGCAAGAACTAGAGCTCTTCAAGGTACAATGTTAAAATTTAAACAAGTTTGACACTTAAAATTGTTTATTTTTTCAACAAACTTTTAAGAGCCTTTCAGTTCTATTATTGTATTTAAATCATCAATGCAAATGTTTTTATTGAACAAGAATTCAAAAGAACTGTTTTCATAGTAAACTGTATTCCTTCAATTATTGTGATTATAATTTTATTATAGACAAACTATTTGTAAAAACATAAAAAATCCAATTTGTTTTTTTTTTAATGATAACTTATGTTGCTTTATCTAGAGAATATCTGCTGAAATGTTTTAAAATTTCTGGGACTTAAATTTATGAAAATGGTCTTTGGAAGTATTTTTGATATAGTGAGCTCAATTGACTTCTAAGTTGATGGCTTTTTTATTTTTATTTTATTTTTATTTATTTATTTTTGCTTTGCTTTGGAGTGTCTTCACATAACTTGGACTGGCCTTGAGATCATGACCCTGCAGCCTCAGTCTCCTGAGGACTGGGACTACAGGTGTGTATGACCATGCTGGACGTTCTACCTGCGTGTTTGGCTGTACCATATATGTGCCTGGTGCCTGTGGAGATTAGAGGAGGGCATCAGGTACCCTGAGGCTGGAGTTGCACAGTTGTTAATTGCCATGTAGGTAATTGGAATAGAACCCAGGGCCACTAGAAGATCATTACCATCTCTTTAGCCCCTAAGTTAATATTTTTAATAAGTATGGAAATGTTAACATTTTGCTAAATTATGATTGAAAAATTAACATGTTCCCACCATTTTTTTTGATGATTATCTTTGAGGCTTCATGTGTTCTTTTGAATGCTTTTGCTTTAACACAGCTATTAAGTAGGAAAATTGATGTTTAAACTAGAATTTTCACTTTCATGAGATAATTTTATACTTTTCAAATATGTGCCTCCATGTTTAAAATGTATTCTACTGTAAATTTTGATGTCATTATATCATTTACTTATTCGTACAGTATGAGTAAAGCAAACATTTACCCTGCTACAAAATTTGATCTTTTTGCATCAATTCTCTATGTCATCTCATCTTTTCTGCTTTTTCGCTGTCTTCCATTAGAGCTAATAGAACCTTCTCCAGAGAAAAGGTTAATCATTTTCGCTTAGATGTTTAACTTCAGACTATCCTTTTTTGGGGATAGGGGAGATACAGTGAAACATATTAAGTAACATTATTTCATTAAAACCTAAAGGATGTGAATTAGTTCAGTGGTGAACAGGAGTGTATAGGATACTTAGAACAAGGGTGACATCTCAAACTTTTTTGTATGCTGTGATTTCAGTGTATTTCTTCATCAATAGCTAGTATCTTAAAGTCAGAAATAACTAAATGTAATTTTAATATAAAGACTGGTTGCCTCAGGAAACTTCCTTAGTTTGGTAAGTCTATTGAGTGGGTGATACATTAACAAAAATAAATATTTACTATTCTTTTATTTTTTATCATAAAGAATGTTCTGTCATGCAGAGCTGAAGATGTTCACAGGTGGTTTATTTAACCACTTTCTGTGTTTTCACATACAGAATCCTGGCCTAAACTCTCCCATAACTGTTAGTTTACTTAATATTCTCCATGTTAAAATTGTGTCTTCATTTTACAAGTGAGAAGGTAATGGTGCAAGCGTTTGTCTTTAGTTGAGGAGACAGATGTGTAAGAAAAGTAGGTAACAATCTTAGTCCTCGGAAGCAACAGAAAGCTGTGCCGGATCTGAGGAAAATGGGTCTATTAGGAGAGAACAAGAGACTGAGCTGGGCCCAGGATGGAGAGCAGCAGGCCCTCTTTCCAGTGGCTCTGGAGCACAGGGCAGATGTTCTCAGGTTTCAGTTGAGGGTTCAGACTGCCAGGTGGAGGAGGCTCCTGCTCTAGGGCTGCAGGAGCCCTCATGTCTTCCTCCTCCTGGCGTTTTCTGGCTGACTCAGGCAGTTTTGCCCCAGGAGGGTTTTCCTTCTCCCTCTGTTGGAAGCCTGAGCTTTGGAAATAATAGATTTTTTTTTTAGCCTCAGGCCAGTTCATCCTCCCCTTGCCCATTGTATATTCCTGTGAAAATAAGTACTCAGTCGTGATTTTTATGTGCATATTGTATGAAACTTAGAGATTGATAGTAAGTAACAGAATTAAAGGGCAAAGCAGTCTTTTCTGTTTGAATTCAGGAGAGAAGGTGAGAGAGCAGTTAAATGTAGAAAAAAAGGGAGAAAAGAAACATTGTGGAAATGAAGAGATAAATTGGGAGCAGGAGGATGATGGGAAAGGAAAGGAGAGACTTGCTGATTTGCATCACACCCACACCTCCTCCCCAAATTCACAGAAACAGGCAATGTCACTTTCTTTTTCATGACGTGTGCTGAGCCAGGGAGTTGAGAATCGTGGGAGTGGAAATTTTCTTCCTTTTGCATTTTGAGACTTGGGTGTGCTGCTAAGATGCCACTGGTATCTGAGTACTGTTTGTTGATACTGGATATTTCTGTGTAGCCTTTGTGGATGGGCTTATAACACAAACAGTGCTGTTAGAAGGATTGCAGGTACTCCAGTGCTGTGTTTATTTTACTAGTTAAAAAATTGCCAGAGCCCTAAGACTTCTGAGCACATTTAGAAAACACCAGAGGCAACTTTAAGAATAGCTTTAGTAAAAAAGAAAGAAAGGAAATTAAGACTTAGTGCTGACCGACATGTAAGTTTTTCTTCAGAGAGCATAAGTTAGGGTCCAGCATTTTAAAAACTTAAATGTAAAATAGTTTTTTTGTAATATTACCTTCTTAATTGTCTAGATAAAAGTGCAGCACTTTTATTCCACAGAATATGAGATTAAAGTTAGAAAGAATTTGGAGGGATTTTAGCCCGATTTTTAAGTTCCATTTTGGTCATGTATAAAGATCCTTGATCAGATCATGGGTCTCAAATTATTTCTTCCTGATTTATGATTGTAATAGGACAGAATAATTGAAATTATAACCATTTCACAAAATCTAAGATACATTGCCAGTCTTATTTTTAAACTCTCTGGTAACTCATTTTATGCCTCTTCCTCACTTTTTTATCTTACTAGCTGTATAAAAAGTAGATTACTCATTCACATTTATGAAAAAATAGTTGCTTTGAATAACAAAATGTCGAGTTAAATCGTAAACTGTTGATTTGGACAAAGTAATAGCTGAGTGACTGTTTGTTTCCCAGGTAGAGAAGCATCTGACAGGGTTTGTTTAGTTCTCCATCTGTGAAATAATGTGAATTAACCATGCTTTTCCCAGTCAGTGCATAGCCCTGGCATTCTGTTCAAGCATTCATGGACTCTGGGAAGCAGAAAGGGGCAGGCAGATTTTCTTTCTTATTTTCCTTGTATCTAATTCTTGTACTTGTCCATTCTTCGCTATTGTCATGGAAACTTCCCCCTCCTCTGACACTGTTCTCATTACACTCTAGATTGCCACTGTGCCCAGTTTTCCACATTAGGCAGAACTGGAACCTGGGCCTACAAGCATGTAGAAAGGGTCCCAGCTTTCTTGGACTCTTCTCCCAGAAGCATGAGCTGCATAGTGCTGCTTATTTATTGCCGCTGTTTGTTCCTATGTCTGCTGTTCGCCTGGCTTGAGCTGTCTTTTAACCTCCACTCTTAATGCTTAACTTTACAAGTGAAATTTGAGCCAGTCACACTGGAAATGTCAGCCATCCCTAGTGGGTCAATTCACATTCATCACAGATCTACTGAGTACTTATTAAGTGGGTAACTATTTTTTACATAGGAGTATTTTTTTATCTTGCAGGTTTATAGTTACTTCATGAAATTTTTAAAAATTCTTACTTAAAAGCCACTTAGCTTTAGATAACCCCAAACAAACACTTTTTAATCAAATATTAACTTCCCATAAAACTCTCCTAATTTTCAGGTAAGCAAGCTATTTATTCTCTTATGAAACGATACAGAGTTGTGAAAGCTGATTCAAAGGTTGGACTCTGAATAAGACTTTTGTCCTGATTTTCTATGTGCTTTATTGCTATTTGCCTTCGGCATAAGGTATGTGATCCTCCTTTGTTCCCTGCTTGCATCTGTGTTTCTTACCAAATGGCACTGTAGGCAAGTTCTACAGGAAGCTTTCTAAGTTAGCTTCTAACTGCTGTGTCTGTAACTGTACTTTCAAACAGCTGTGTAATGCTGCTATTTTAAAAAAAAATGTGGGTGTGGAAAGTGGTGGTGAAATGAATTCAGGGTAATTGGTGACTTTGTATTAAGAGAAAAAAAATCACTGGTTAAGAGAAATCCGCTTCCATGATTTATATATCTTTAATTTTAAAATCTTTCAACCCATCTTTACTCTGTTTCCACTGTATTTCATAAATTTAAAAAAAAAATCAAGAAATTAGTCATGGCGCTTGATAGCTGTAAGGATTTTATAGAAAATTTTATTAACCCTCTTATTGAGAAAATTGACATCCAGTGTAGTCTAATGAAATCAGGTAACTAGCTGGTTTAAAAGCCTAAATAACATTTTAGTAGTTTGTTTCCATTAGTATATACTGTTCTATTTAAGCTTCCTTAGCCTTCTAATAATCAGAAAAGGACAGTCCAGGAACATAACTACTAGTTAGGGACATGTGTTCTTTGTCTTCTTACACACACCTTGGTCACTTCTCCAGGAAGGTCTGATGAGCAGGTATTACTGTTTCCTTTCATAGAGAAAGCAGCTCGGGCTCAAAGTTACAGATCTCCCCTACCCCCCAGGTGTCTGCTAGGTAACCCTGTGTTTCTTGTCTTCCTGTAATTTAAGATTCACCAGCTGGTCTTGGAGAATTCTCACAGGGGAGAGTGGGGAACAGCATCTTGATGTTGTGACTTCTGCTTCTTTGTTGAGTTGTAAGCTCCCAAAAGATGTTGTCTAATTGTTAAAAAGATGCATCTTAAGAATTCTCTTACTGATGTCTTGAAGATTCAGCCAGCATATACTAAGCACCCACTTTCTGCAGGGCACCTCTTGGGGCACTTCTATAGATGGCAGGAGATCGAATCATGGCCACGGGCAAAGACTAAAGGTAGTTTCTTTCCTTTCAAAGACTTGCCTTTGTAGGGAGGTGTGAAAGATACTAGTCCCTGTGTCTGAAATTGGTCAGCTCTTTCTAAATTTCTGTATTAAAGTTCATATTAAAGTAATGTACATCATATAGAAAAACAAGGAAGTGAGTTTTTCATAGTAACAGTTATATGACTTGGTTATTGTCTTGACTTTCTTTTTATTGATAACATAGCTAGTACTCTCATCGCATAACTTTGAAAGCATTGTCATAAGTGCTTACAGAATGAATCAATTTGGTAATATGACATTCTGGGTATTTTATGGCAGTTGATTATTATTAAAGACTAGACTAACCTTGCCTTTTAAATGCTTTCAAAGAAAATTAGTTAAGTAGTAGACTACTCTATAATATTTAACAATACCAAATCATTTAAGTTACTAATATATATATAGTTATACATATATAGTTACATACACACACACACACACACATTCTGGACAGTTGGCCTAAGTTAAAAATAGATGTTTTCCAGTTACTGATACTGGTTAACAGACTTTTTTTTTTTAATTTTCATTTTTTTAAATAAAGTCTTACTGTGTTATCCATGTTGGTCTTGAACTCTGGTCCTTCTAAAACTACAAGTGTGTAGCAGCTCCAACTCAAATACTTGTTTTGAGACAGTTTCCCTGTGTAGCCCTGCCTGACCTGAAACACCTTATATATTCTTAGTAGCGAGGCTAGCCTCAGATTCTGCCTCCTGAGTGCTATGATTACAAGTGTACTTCACTGTGCCTGGTAAAATAAATATTTTTTTTAAAAGGCAGCATTTGTTATAAAATGGTTCACATCTGAAACAATATATTATCCTGAAGGAATAATACTGATCATGCTGAGTTTTTATAGCGTGGGAATTATAGCTTTAGTTTTGTTTTTAAAGTAGTTCAGTATTTGAGCTCATTTCTGCCATGTGATTGTTAATAATAAAACTTAAATGTACTTGATATTCCTTTAGAAGCATTCTGTATTTCAGCAGAAGCAGGAGGGTATTTCTGTTCTTTGGAAGGAGCCTAATTGAGCAAAGTCTGGCAGAAAGAGCTGAGCCAGCAGCCTGTGGTCTGAGGGAGGTTGCCTGGGAACTGCTGACAGTGAGGTAAGAAAAGGGAGCTGAGGTAGATAGAATGGGGTGGGAAAGTCCCCCATTAGCCTGGAGGCTCAGAGGCCCTGACCTTCTGGAATGTCCCACCTTAGTAGGAATACCAGGGAAAGTAAGAGAGGAGAGCTACTGGCAGGTGAGGGGTGAGTGGAGAATGAATGGTAAGACTAAGGTCCTGATGCCTTTGAGAATATCTGAAAACTTGCCTTGGAGAGCAAATCAATTCTATTTTATCATGAAAGGTGTTCTTAACTGTTAATTTTTTGGTTATAATGAAAATACAATTATTATCGAACTGTTAACTCTTGTTCAAATGCATGCCTTCCCATACTCCACAAATGCTCTAGAACACCAGAACAGAGGAGTGAGCAGTGAGCCATTTCAGTGCTGCAAGTCTGGTGTCCTCCTCAGCGTTATGGTGACGGTGTATTTGTCTTGGTAGCGGCTTATCACGCTGTAACAGGGACAAGATGAAAGTGGCATGGTGGATATCGATTGACAGGAGGAAATACTTAGGAGAGGTTCAGTTGAACTGAGCTTGTAAATGTGTACAAGACTAAGCATGGTGAATGCCTGTAATCCCAACACAACATTTGGTAGGTGGAGGCAAGAGAATCAGGATTTCAAGGTCAACTTCTGCTATGTAGTTCAAGGCCAGGCTGGGCTACATTTGGACCCCCTTACCTCCAAACTAAAAGTCATAAAGATGAGTACATATGCTTAATTTTTTATTTATTTTGTATTGCCACTTTAGTAAAGAATGATAATTGAATAAAATAATTATGTTCACTTCTAGACTAGGAGAGGATTTAATCTTCATAAATTTAAACTCTTTACTATCCAAGATAATGGTTTTCTTCCTAGAATTTGAGTTTCTTAACAGTTGTTTGCATGAGCAAACTCCATGAGAAGTTGTTCCCAGTAAATTTCCATGGTTCTATTAATTTTCACAAAGCAAGGAATATAGCAGGTAGGTTTTTATTAGTATTACTTCAACAGCACTAAAGAAAATCAAGAGAAGATTCACTGGTGTCGTGATTAACAGGAAATGTAATGAGGATTAATACAAACCCTTAGGCTAGCTAAAACTGTGAGGAAAACTACACCTTGAATGAGTCAGAGAAGGTGGAGATTGGATTTGAAGTTCAGAATTCTGTTTGTACATTTAGTTACTCTGTTTCAGATGAGTTCTATGCATGCTTTCAACAAAAGGAAACAGACCAGTTGGTGTTCGTTCTTTACAGGTGTGTCAAAATAAAAACAAGATATTCCAGTAATGTTCATGCAGCTTCCTAGACCCTAGGATTCCCAGGCAGAAAGATGCAGATCCTAGGCAGTGGAGCCTGGGCTGACAAGGGACCTCCCATTCTTGGAGTACTCCTATAAACTTGCAAACCTGAAGTTGGGAGGTGATATGGATAGGAAGGAGTAAGATGGAAGGAAGGAAAAGTGTCATTTTCTGGAGGGGCAGGGCACCTTGTACTTTTTCATTTCTTTGACTAGCTAAGAAAACGTTTTAAAAGATTTTAGGACCAGTCTCCTCCACCTGAATGAGTTAATCCTTTAAATAGTTAAAACATAAAGGATGTGTGGTAGAATCCAAGACGCTACAGCTACACCTTTGGGCTGGCAGACTTAGGAACCTTGACTCACAACACAGATCTGAAGCCATGGAGTGCTTATAGTTTTGAAGTTGGAAGTTTGTTTTCTGTGTTCCAGGGTTATATAAGGCAGATCAGGGTCTGATGTACTAAACAAAATTGAATCTTATTCCTTCATATTTGTTAAGACGTGCTTTTTTCTTGTATAATATTTGAGGGACCAGCCTTAATATTATACATCCCAGGGGCTCAGGAGAGAGAACTACTAACGGCGAGGACTATTTTCAGGAAATAGAATCTCAGCACACCACACTCTATCGTCCACTTGCTTTAATTCGTCTGGGATAACATCCTATATACACAGCTTCAGTTCTGTTCTCGTGCCTAGCTTCTTTCTTGCCTGATTTCTCTCTGTTTATCTACTGCTCCCTCTTAAGTTTTATCTTAATTCTCTCGTCTTAATTCTGCCTCATCTAGGTCCTTTTCACCTTGTTCTTACCCAGCTAGGGCTTTCCCATATCAGCTCCTCTCCCATCTCCTTCTCTTTCTCTTGTTCTTCCTCATCTTGTTCTTCCCCATCTGGCTCTTCCTCATCTTCCATCTCGTTCCTCTAGTCTTCTCTTCTAGCCCTTCAATCTAGTTCTTCCCCATCTAGTTCTTCCATTCTCTTTTCCCTTCTCACTCCTGTGCCCTGGAAGTCCCGGTATACATAGGGAGGGTCCAAGCCAAATTGTGTAAAGCTATTAACGTTCACCTGACCTAGGCAGTGTCTCCTTGTAGAATTTACCGTAAGTCAGGAGACTTGCATGTGGGCTGTTATCACTGTTAGTTCTCAGAAGTTGAGCGACCACCTGGGTGGTGTCTCCTTGTGGAATTTACCTTAAGTCAGGAGACTTGCATGTGGGCTGTTATCACTGTTATCCTCAGAAGTTGAGTGACCACCTGGGTGGTGTCTCCTTGTGGAATTTACCTTAAGTCCAGAGACTCCCATGTGGGCTGTTATCACTGTTATCCTCAGAAGTTGAGTGACCACCTGGGTGGTGTCTTCTTGTGGAATTTACCTTAAGTCCAGAGACTCCCATGTGGGCTGTTATCACTGTTATCCTCAGAAGTTGCGCACCCACCTGGGCAGTGTTTCCTGTAGTCCTTGAAAGTGGCTAAGGGAGATATCTGATTCCAGAGAAAGCCTTTCCTGAGGCTGTTCTCCAAATACCTGGAATGTGTATGTCTAGAGAGTGATCGGTCCACATTGTTAGCCCTTCTTAGCTAAAAGTCAATTGGGAAAACTATGAGGGCACACATGATTTTCATAACAGAATACAGCTGATAAATAACAAGCCAAATAACACCAAAAGCTCCTTGGAATTTGGCTTCCTCTGGAGGAAATCCTTGATCCCTCCAGGTAGTGATTTTGCCATAACCAGCTGAGTTCTTATGATATATTCCTGCGGCCTGCAGCACTTTTTAAAAACATTCATATTTTCCAGATATTTTGGTCAGAAGCACACTTACTTAGTTCAGATATTTTACGTCAGTGGTTCTCTGCTGGAAAGGTGTAGCAGAAGCATTTGGTAGCTTTTGTCAGGTGTATACACCCAGCAGCTTCCCACCTTTGAGTAAGAGTTGGAGAAGCAGTGGGGCAAACTGAAATTTAGGTATGTGGGGTTAGAAGAAGCCAAATGGATAATCTATCTTATCTCAACCCTCAAACTTTAAGAATTATGGTTCCAAGTGGAATCTCTGCTGCTCAACAACAAATAAAATCCTAAGTCATTGAAACAACTACCTAACACAGACCTACACCTGAAGTGGCAAGTTATCCATTTGAATAAATTGACTTAGCTTTTGTGTGAAGTTTTACTATGCTTGTATTTTGCTAAAAAAAAAAAAACCCTACATGTAGAGTCTGTGAGACCCTGAGCTGCTCCTTGTTAAATGCTCTTGCATGTTTGAGCTCTTGTATATATGATCTTAGTCTTTCATGTTTCAAAGAATTTTTTCCTCTTTATTCATAAAGTGTTGAGCAAAAGGCTGGAGTGGTGCTGAAGTTTTATGTTTCTTTTACAAAGAATTGTTATTGGAAGTTGTTTGCTTAGTATATACCAGGAAATTAATGATTTTACCATTTTTAATTTAAAGTTATTACTCAAAAGTGGACAGATTCCAAGGCAACTAGGAGATCCTTTACTTTGAGAAAAATTTATGGGAGTGAAAACCTTTTCTTTTTGTAAACAGTTGCTGATATACAATATCCTCTGGGGTGCCAGTTCTGGTATTTATGTTTTAATTAAAGAGCACCCTGCCTCTCTGTTTGTGGGCCACTTAAAAGGAGTGGGTGTCTTGGTGAGAAGTTCACAAGGTTGGTGGCTGTAGCTGAGTTTAGGATTGACTTAGCTGGGGCAGCAGTGGTCTATGAATGCCAAGTACTAGGAATGTTTGGAATGTAGACTTGCCAGCACTGATAGGGTTTGCTTTGTTCCCTCGTGTGACTTGACCCATTGAGAAGTTGTGATTCCCTAGGAAGTTTTAATAGTTCAAAGTGTTTAGTTAATAAAGAGAATGGCCACAACATAATTCAGCTTGTTTTCACCTGCTGCCTCAAAGATTAACTTTCTTAACCATAATGGGATAGAACTACCCTTTGCTTTGAAAAAGAAATTTATGGAGCTCATCACATTTGTTAGTTTCCACAAACATGAAGCTCTCTGTGGGGATTTTTGTATCATAAAATCCCAAGGCATTGGCAGCTTAACCTTGTGGTAACTTCATCTAAAACCCAATCTCAGAGAAAGGGCACACCCGCGGTATCAGCTTAGTCTTTCACTAGACTCAGAAGGGTTTTGAATTACTTCAGGAAAAGTAGTGACTGATAGAGCTTAACCTTCCGTTTTCCTCATTTATTTTCATTAGAGAATGGGAGTGGAATTCAGAACATTCAGATGTGGAGTTAATGTGCGTCACTGCTGCCAGCCCCTGCTGCCAGCGATAGGTTCTGTGTTTTTCCAGTGGGAAACTCAGATCCACCGACTGATCCTGCAGACCGGCACCTCCTTGCCTTTTCTGCTTTCCTCCTGATTGTTGCTTATTCCTTCAAACATCAGCTGACTGGACAAGGCCTCTATGAACGCGGGTTTCAGAACAAAGGTGATCTGTAGAAGCAGCACGTAAGTCTTTTGTCTGTTTATAACTTTACTGTTTTTATTGGTCTACGCTCCCCTATTTCAGTGTTTAATGTCAAATGTGCATTTTATGCTGTGTTGATAATTACGTTTTTTCCTGGTTACTTTTGCTCCAAGAAGGATTTTGATGAACTTGTACATGTTGTAATCCTAGTCAGTCACCTCACCACTTTCCTGTTTGTTTCTTATGGCCAACAGTAATGGATGAAGTCCATTTACATATGTTGTTTTAGTAAATGTTTTTCACACTTAGTAGATGAATAATAGATGTTCCTGAAGCATCTATCTGTTTGGAACTACAGTCATTTTCTAGGGCCTGTTTGTGTGAACGGGGCTGTACAGTTTACAGAAATGGTGCCTGTACATTTCAGAAACACCTACAGGGGACTTGTCGGGTCAGTGAGACCGACTGCTGCAGAAGGCCTCTCTCTGTTGACAGTGAGCGACTGTAAACATCCTCGACTGGAAGCTGTGCAGCCACAAACGGGCTTTCAGTCGGATGTTTGCAGCTGCCTACTGCCTCCAACTTCAAGGAGCAGGTATCTTGTTTGCTGAAACCAATACCTTGTTTTCTCTGATTTATTTTTACAAAGCTTGGGTGGAAAAGATATAAATTAAGCAACTTCTAAACCACAGATAGAAGTATTCTTCCTATGCGTAGAATATGCAGTATATGAACTAAAAAAAAAGTAACAATGTTCTTGAGATAACTGAAGTAATGTATTATATAGTATTAACTATTTTTTTTAAAGCATTGTAGGACAATGCTTTTAAAAAAAAATCATTCTAAAACATGGGCTCTTTGATCCACTATTTATATATTAATTCTCAGAGTAGGTATTTTTTTTAGAGCCATTCACAAAAAAATTCTGTTAATGTAGCTAAATTATTTGAAAAGAGAAAGTAAAATCCAAAGTAGAGAATTAACTCATGTTTCATACTACTTGAATTAAACCACCTATCCCTTCTTGGTTTAGTCTTTCACAAAGGGTTTAAAAAGTATATTTGGCTTTGTTTTGCTGATCAAAAATACTGTACGGTCTTCTTTGAGATTTCCCTTTTAGCTGAACTGGTAAAGTAACCAGTCTCTCTTCAAAACAGTCAGTGTATCAAATTCCATTCTTTATGAAGACAGTTTCAGAATGGGAAGTCTATCACAGATCTCTGAAGGACACGTTTTCTAAGTTGCCTTTTTTGAAAATCTATATTCTTCTTATGGCTTAATGTGAATGTTTAGTTAAATTGTGGGAATGAAACACCTTAAAAAGAGAAGCAGGCAGTATCTTTATCTTCTAAAACACAGTTTTTTGAAAGATAGTATTTTCATTATAAACTACAGCTTCTATTCTCTCATTTAATGCATTGATCTTATTAATAGAGGACATACTGAAGGACTGTGCTGCATTCCATAAGTGCTGGCCATGTTGGTGGCTGATGGAGAGATGGGTGTATAGAAGTGAGTTTCCCTCATACATAAAGCCATCAAGTGAGAAAACTCAATTAGTCATGCTAGGCATGAAGAGTTAGTTGACTACCTCTGGAACAGGGGGCTGGATAGAGAGCCCTCGGGTCTGAAACTGAGTGCAGTGTTGCTTAATAGGTAAACTGAAAACATTCAGTGTAAGTAACTCAGCTATGTCCTAGGGAAACTAACAGTCTTTCCCAGGGAAATGGCTGTAGGTTTGAAGAAAGTCTTTGACCTTCACTTTCTTTATCTTCTCCCTGTGTTATTTCACACTCCCTTCTTTGCTTCATTGACTTCTAAATTTTCCACTTTCCACTTCTATTTGGTTATTTCCTTTATATAAGAAGTTACTTACTGGAATTTTTTTAACTTGTAAATTTTCTTAGATATTCCTTAAGCCAGCAGATATAAAACTCCATTAGCTATTTTGGTTCATTTTGAAATTAATACCTCTTATGTTTTGTGCTCATTTCCACAGTAATAATCTAAAATGCTATTTTAGAATATCAACAATGTGCTATTTATAGTTGAAATAAGATCTGGATTTTTTTTTCTTCATTTTATAAAAATAAACTTAAGTTTAAAACTTAGTAATATTACATTTATATAACTATATAGTCAAAGTTATTGTGCACTTCAGTAAGATTAAGTATCATTTTATATAAATTAACTTGCTCATTATTTTTTCTTTAATAATATTTCTTTTAAATTTCACATCCATATCTGCTCATTAAAGCATCTTACTTGAACTACAACATAAAACAAGTGTTTTAAAGTTAGTAATGATTTAAAAAGTGAGCAGCATGCCTAAAAACCCTAAGTAGTGTATATTTAGTTTTATTTGTAATTTTCCAAAATAGCAATTGTAACGTCTTTTGAAAGGAGATTTCTAAAGGACGAATGTAAGAGCTGAAAGTGACATTGGTGATTCATTTAAATGATATTATTTTTTCCTGAACTCTGACTTGAACCCACACTTAAGTTTATGGGATGTTCCATAAATAGCATACATGTGTAACTCCTTTCCTCCCTGAGAGGACAGCTGCAGTCTGTGAGGGTTGTGATGACAAAACTGAACATTGCTGTTCTGATTTCTAATGGTCTTATAATGAAAAAGATCAGAGAGACAAAGGAACAGGCCACCTCTTACCTCTAGGACTCCTCAGCCTGAAAAGCTTTCTGTCTTCTCACGCCTTATATACCTTTCTCTGCCCTTCCGCAACATTTCCTGTCTCAACTTCCCTAGTGCTGGGATTAAAGGCGTGTGATTCCCAAGTATTGGGATTAAAGGCATGTGTCACCACTTCCTGGCTCTGTTTCTCTCCTAGACTGAGTCAATCTCACACAGTCCAGGGTGGCTTTGAACTCACAGAGATCCAGATGGATCTCTGCCTCCTGAGTGCTAGGATTAAAGGCATGTGCCACCACTGTCTGGCCTCTATGTTTAATCTAGTGGCTTATTCTGTCCTCTGACCTTTAGGCAAATTTTATTAGGATACACAATATGTCATCACAGACCATGACAGGGTCCTTTGTGAATTTTGTACCTAGACCGGTGAGTGCCATCTCTGCCTGCATTGCTATTAGATTGTGTTGTTTTCTTATGCAAAGTATTAGCTAAATGTTACCTATCAAGAAAAAAGTCTTTCATAAGTATTGTCAGGTTTTAATGGTTTAATAACATTAATTTGAAGTTGCCAGTTATTTTTGTCTATTGAGAAAGTAATAGGATGTTAAGTGTTTCTTTTAATTTTTGAAGTGACTTAATAATATCCTAAAGATGATTTCTAGTGAGCTATCTTAAAAAACTTGCTAAAGGAACTGAAATTTTTTTTCACAATGCCCTCCCTGTAAGTAGTACGGAAAAAGTACTAGAGATTCTAAATAGATGGGAAAGTGGGCTTATTAGTATGTATTATACAAATTATATATACTATTATATAAATTATGTATTATAGTATATATTCTAGTTGTGCATATATGTATAATACATACATATATATATAATATAGTATATATGTTATAGTTGTTTGTATGTGTGGCTACGCAAATACAGAACTGAGCCTTTTGAAATTGAGGTTTTTATGATTATTATTTTTCTTCATTTTCATTCCTCTGATTGACAGAAATTCAGTAAATAAAGGTTACTTTGGGGGTGGTGCTTCTTTTGTTATTTGTTTTTGTAAATCTATTAAATGTGGAGCTAACCAAATGGCTCATGGGTAAAGTGATTGCTTCCAAGCCTGATGATGACCTGAGTTCAGTCCTAGGCCTCATTGGGAAGAATGAAAGAAGCGACTCCTACAGTTGTTCTCTCACTTCCTCATGCAGACTATAGACCGCACACACATAAACATTTACTTGTGGACTCACAATGCAGTGCATTTCAGAAAAGGAATGTTTTAATCCTGACAACTGGATCTTGCAAATGGTATTTGATGAATTAAATATTCTTTAATAGACTTCATTAACAGTTATTCATGACAAGTTATCTTCACTAATATGTACTTAAAGTCTGGCGCTGTGAACGTGGTTGAGTAAGTTAGTGTTGCCAAGTTAGACTTAATCGGCCCTTCTAATTTTTAGATTCAATTATTATATAAGCTTAATAATGCAGTGCTGTTAGAATAAAAGTTTTTTCTTGCAAAATGCAAATTTAAACAAAGTAGACTGGGGAGTCATTCAGCACAGTCACTAAATGTGAACTACTGTCTCCACAGACTTCACAGCCTCCCATGGTTAGCAAGATTAAGGAATAAAGTCCATCAAGCTCCCTTTCACAATATCAGAATCTTTCTTGTTAGGAAATACAAAACAGTGTGATACTGTATCTTAAGTTGTTACACGCAGTGATTTCTTGCAAGGCTGACCACAAGAGCTAAATTTTGGATTTTGTGAGTTTTTAGCACAAGAATGAAACTCTTGAAAAATACAGTGCTTATATGAGAAGTCTTTAAGTAAAGGAAATTTACATAAACTAGTTAAGAAATACCACAGTTGAATATGTAAATAAATACACAATGTCATAAAACAGTATCACTTGTCATAACTCCCCCAGTTAGTAGGTATTTATTTACTGGCAGGATGTGTGAGTTAATGTCATCAAAACATCCTGGCTCTGTTTGGATGAAGACTTATTTGCTTTGAATATAACTGTACAGAAATAAGACAGTGAATTTGTAGAATTTGCAAATTCAGATGTTCATTGTTGAGCATTCTTGTTTTGACACAGTAGATACCAAGGAAGTCATTTTGCTAATTTACTTAATTTTTAATTATTGTCTTAGATTAAAATTATTTGGCAATGAGTAATTTGTAAGTATGGACTTCCTATCTAGGAAATATAATTTTTATAAATATTTTATGTTTTTGGTGGCTTTCTTAGTCATATCAGCTACGTAATTTTAACCAGTAACCAATATTTTACTTAAAATAAGTTCCAACAGTCTAAAACTGAACTAGAAGTAGAAAATCTGCATAGATTGCTCATAGGATAATGTCTAACTGTATCTTGAAACAG